GTGTCACCTTCTTTAGAGGCTCTGTTGCAACCCCTGAATGGGTTACAATGTATAGATATTACATGTATATTACATTTTCATATAATTTTATATTGCTTATATTTGCGATAATAGCTAAATCGTGAATATATTGCTTTATATTATTATTTGATTTAGTTATGTTGTTAGGTAGGATGTAACATATTATGTGCTCATAGTTCAAGTCTTGATTGTCTAACTACTGTATACTGTAATTATCGCTCTTTGCTCGTTTCCCTGCCGGCTTCTGTTGCTGGGCAACAGCTGTCCACGGAGCTATCACGTGATCGAGGGGATGGGGGTTGTCCTCACCTCGCCTGCAGTATTCAGTCTGGTCTAGACTCTCTTGGTGGTTGGACGTATTCCAGACAAAGTGCCTAAATCTCTCTTATGGACCCTTGTTGGAAGATCGTCTCTAGCTTTCTTGTAGGTTCTGTGGGACTCTGTTCACAGAACATTGTATAGACTTAAGGATTTTTCGACGTTGTACTGAGGTTGTGTGTCACATAGACACTCTGAGCAACTCAGGTCTTGAGCTGTAGCTTCTGACCTAACTTGTACTGGTATCTGTGTATTATCACAGTCGGGGATTTTCTTATGCTGAACTTAGATTCAGTAGTATGGGAGTTTTGTGACTTTTGTGGAGGATCTGCTGATGGTCCCTACTTAGTGTCGTTATATTATCTCCTTGTTCCTGATTCTGTGTCGCAGTTGCTTGTTATATTGCTATTGGGTTTAGCATTCTTTTTATTGTTCAAGCAGACTGTTCTGATTGCCAGTTGGTCAAGAAGTTAGTTTATGTGAGGACTTTGTCAGTCACTTGTTTAAGTCTAGTCGAGTCGTGAGACATAGTGAACTACTTAGAACACTTACACACATACACACAAACTTACTTGTACATATTTGTAATATCTTATTAAATGTTAATGTACCAGACGGTACTTAAGAATTATAAATGTGATATGTGCTTTCAGCACAATAATACTGTACACGAGAGAAGCGATTATTATTATTTTGATTACTGTGATTAATTTAATTTAAATTGATATACGCCTAGACAACTAAATTATTAATAAATTTATTAAATTTTAATTTCTCTAGTTAGTAGCCTACCAGTTATAATCCTGAAGCACTATTGAATCATACTGAATTCCATTGGATAATTGGACCAGGATACTGACTAATTGTTACAAAAACCCAGTAACAGGCTGGATGCTAGAAGGGCAGTCCTTTCTAGTATTCACTGGAGATCTCTAAGCTTTTAGAATCGCGTTTTTTGTAACAGGCTCTATGGTGTCACCCCTAGATGATGTCACCCTTTGCTGGTGTCACCCCTAGATGGTGTCACCCTTTGCTGGTGTCACCCCAAGATGGTGTCACCCTTTGATGTCACCCCTTGATGGCGTCACCCCTTGCTGGTGTCACCCCTAGATGGTGTCACCCCTTAATGGTGTCACCCCTAGATGGTGTCACCCTTAGATGGTGTCACCCCTTGATGGTGTCACCCCTAGATGGTGTCACCCCTAGATGGTGTCACCCCTTGATGGTGTCACCCCTAGATGGTGTCATCCTAGATGGTGTCACCCTTAGATAGTGTCACCCCTTGATGGTGTCACCCCTAGATGGTGCCACCCCTAGATGGTGTCACCTCTAGATGGTGTCACCCCTAGATGGTGTCACCCCTAGATGGTGTCACCCCTAGATGGTGTCACCCCTAGATGGTGTCACCCGGGGCGACCCCCTCCCCTATGACGCTACTGTGGAGACCTAACCTAACCTGACTTAGAAACCTACCTGGAGTCTACCTGGAGGGTATTCTGGGGATCAACCCCCCCGGTCCATGACCAGGTCTCCCGGTGGATCAGGGTCTGATCAACTAGGCTATTACTGCTGGCTGCACGTAGTCCAACATACGAACCACAGTCCGGCTGATCCAGTATTGACCTCAGATATATGTCCAGGTCCCTCTTGAAGACAGCCAGGGTGGGAGGTTGTTGAACAGTCTTGGACCCCGGACACTTATTGTGTTTTCTCTTAGTGTTACATCGCCTGTCAAGTCTTTTCCTTTCGTAGGGAGTGATTTCTGTGTGCAGATTCGGAACAAGTCCCTCCAGGATTTTCCTGGTGTAAATTATATCTCTCTCGCCTGCGCTCCAGTGAGTACAAGTCAAGTGCTTCCAGGGTTCCCAATAGTTTAGGTGTTTGATGTACCTTATACGTGCAGTAATGGTTCACTGTACATTCTCTAGATCTGCAAATTCACCTGCCTTGAATGGAGATGTTAATATACAGCAGTATTCCAGCTTAGGAATTTAAAAACCTTAGGAACCTCACCTACCATAACATAGAAACCTCACCTAACATTAGAAACTTTACCTAACGTTACTTAGAAACCTTACCAGACCTAACTTAGAAACCTCACTAAACTTAGAAACCTCACCAAACCTAGCTTAGAAACCTCACCAAACCTAGCTTAGAAACT